AAACAAAGGTTATCAGAGGAAGAGGGACATGGATTAAATGTCATGCATGTAAACTTAGAGAAGGGTGGAATCTGGAGTCATGCCATACCATAAAAGACTCTATATCTGGATTTTGTCTTGACAAAGCAGCTCAATCCAAAGTCTATGAGTCGAACTCGTGGGACGTCTGTGCTGGTCTCGATCAGGATATTTTCTACTTTGATGTCTCTGTGGAAGATGCTTTTCTCTTTAAGGTGTATTGCTGCATCAACCAGTTGTTTAAGGATAACCTAAAAGAGTTCATAACACACATGTTAGATATCTAGAATAGAGGGTGCTAGGACATTTTATAGCTAATTGGGTTTTAACACTTGTGTGTCCCTCAGGATTCAATGAATCCAGGGTGTGGGGGGACACACATCCCCCAGATTCACTGAATCCAGGGGGACACACATTAAACCAAGAAATTCACAAAGACTGCAAACATTATGCATCTACTTACTTTTGCCTCCTCTTCCTCGAGGGAACCTCCATTTTTTTCTATGTAGCTTGAGAGGTCTTCAGCAGGCATTGGCCTCTCGAGCACAAGAATCAGCTCCTGCTGGAAATCATACCAGTCCAGCAGGGACACTGGGGCTGAACTCCCCACTGAAGCAGGATCTGTCATTCCAAGCTTCTGCATAACTGCCACTTCCACCGAAAGTAGCCTTCCATCCGTGTCCTTAAAAACCACAGAAAAAATGACAACAAAAAAGTTAGAAAGGGAAATGATACCATCTACAACCCATTCAAAAGGGGATAAAATCAGTAGTTACTGGTTCTGCTCACTTACTTTATGTTTGCAGTACACTTTGTCCTTTGGAATGTGTTTGATGGCTACCTGAAAGACAAACAAAACCGTGGTTAGCTTTTTTTGATGTTATTGCGTGTGTCCTATAACATTGTGATTTATTGAATGTGATCATTTGAGTTTTATACGTACTGGCATGTTGTCTGCTTTCCGATGACCTGCAAAAACAGATCCACAACCTCCTTCACCAAGTGGACTTTCCTCCACATATTTTGCCTCAAATGCAGCTACAAAAAAATTAGAAATATAATTTTAGTTTAACAAATCTTAATGAGGTCATTTATCCTTTACACGGGTAATACAAGCCATGTATCTTGTCCAGGTAATTGATCACAGAGATTCTTCGTTAAGCATAACTAATCTGATTGAATGTTACAAATATTTGCTCATAGCTGACCTTTTTCCTCATGTTTTTTGTTCTCTATGGTCACTGAGGTCTTTGCTCTCTTCCGCCTCTGTGTTTCTTCAGGGTCTACGGCTTTCCTTTTTAAATGAACCCTTGTATCACCTTCAGATGTGCTACAAACAGGCGAGTTTGTGCTCCTGGTTCCTGTGAATAAAAATGATCCACAAAAATATTTGCATGTTTTTTTTATCCTTTCATGACAGTTTACAGTAAAATAAAGGCATTAAAAGAAAATATACAGGACTGGAAAGAAACAGAAGAATTCTTTATAATGTGCCCGTTACTTTAACAGCAAAAAGGCCTTAGATGATCTATTATTTCTATTTTATTACCAGTCAAACAAACTCTTATTAAATGCTATATAGAGAATAGAAAATACTATACTTAAAATAACGGGGTAAATACTCTCTAAAGTATCACATTTTTATGAATAATATTTAAAAAACCTACCACTGTCCACTGAAGAAGACATCTCCTCGTGTAATAGATGGTCAAAAAGTTTTCTCTTTTTGGCTGGATTTGAAGGGCCCTCTCCATCTTCTGTGACTTTCCTCTTTCCATTTTGTACTTTCTTGGGCTCCTTCTGAAAACTTGTGGAAGTTTCAGCCACCTCAGAGACCCTTGCTCTTTTTGTGGGTTTCTGAGGTTCAGGACTGCCTTTCCTTTTGATGCCTGGTCTCCTGCCATCTTGTACACGGTCTGTACTTTCTTGGGTTTTCTTGTTGCACTCTGTAAATAGGTTTTTAAAAAATGGACTTGTCAGTTTTTTTTCAAAGTCGTCAGTATTTGAAACAATCTCACACAGACAATGTTCAACTGCAGCCTGAAGCGATCCAAATCTGACTTTTTGGCCCTAATGCGACCTGTAGCCGATCTTTTCTTGACCGTGTGAACAACACAGATCAGATCCTTTTCAAATGCAACCCTAACCCGTTTAGGTTCACTTGATGTTCACCCTGAATATCACATTTATTTGGAAAACAACAAAATTAGGATTTTCCATAATAATCAGAGTTGGATCACTTAAAGCTGCAGTTTGAACTCAGCCATAATCATGATGAGGATTTATGAAAAGTGTAATGCAGAAACTTTTTGCATGTTCATTTGTTACCGTTTGGTTAACATGGCATTCAGTTTTTGTTATTTTTGAGCATTTGTTGAACAATCTCCTGTTATGCAATAATCTAAGAAAGTAACACTAAATCTTAAGTAAATAACAGATTACTTCTTTTCATTGCTAATTGTGAAATTTACCACTATACACCTTAATTATCTCAAAAGCTAAGACTAGGATTGTTTTCACATTACAAAAATGACAATCGAAATTATTCATTTTCATTTTTTGCACAGAATTCATCCTTACTTTTTTCTTTCTTGGGAGTACAGCCTTTCTTTACTTTCTCAGAATAATCGTTCATGGTTATATTAAATAATTTTGAGAATTTCTTAAGCAAATCCATCCAACACTGGTACTACTGTTGTGTGTAAGTAGCAGTTCCAGCTGTTCTGAACTTGGGTAATGCATAGTCAGAATGTTGTGATGTAAGAATTTGGCTATGACATCACAGTGCATTAGAGTGATGATGTTGCCAAGCAACTAGAATGTTAGGCTCCGTCCCTAACCTGGGGGAAGGGCTTGGGAACATCATCAAAGGAACCTGTTAGCCATACAAGGTTGGTGGTTAACTCTGGAACAAATAGAACTCTGGAAACTCCTGATGACTACCAGACACCATAAGCCAGGGCTGGGCAAACCCTTTGGTTCAGGGGCCACAGTCGCCTTTCAGAGGGGCCGGGACAGCACCAGAACCATACATATAAATCAGAAACATAAAAAAGCCTTAAAATTGTAATACTTACATGCACTTTTAGTGGGAGATGTGTTGTTGATCACCTTTTCTTTGCCAGTGCATCAAAGCCTGGTGTCAGATTTGTTGCAATTCTCAAACCAGCTCTGATAACTAAAATGAATAATCTATTTAAATAAATAACCCCGTTACAATTTAATAATAACAATTTAATAATAATCCTGGTGGAGTGTGTAAGGTAAAATAATTAGGGATTGCATAGCCAAAATCTCCTCCTTATCGCAAAGTTGTGACCAATCCCTCTTATGAATATTAAAAGCTGAGCAGTTTCCTTGATATCATTACTTTTGTCCTGTGCCAACAAATATAATGTAAATGACTCGACTTTTGTTGTTGTTGCTGTTTAGCTTGCTAGCAAAGTCCACCTCAATTAGCTCAACGTAGCTAGTCAATCTCCAGCAGTTTTTTTTCTCATATTTGCTTGTTTCTAAAAATAAAAACCGACATCTCTAAAGGAAACTCTTTGAAAAACCCCATTCACAAAAATGCTACTTCTCTTTGCTAATTAGAAGGCCAACAAATTACTTGCCTTTGCACTTGATTCTCGGATGGCAGTGAGCCGGTTGAAGGTGTTTTGCTGACCTGGCTGGTCAACTGGTTGGTAGCTTAATTAGCATGCTTGGTGGGAAAGTGACGCCGGACATTTCATTCCTTTAAAACCGCAACAGTGTCTTGGCAGATAAGAAGTCGGCGGCGTTTGGTTGGACTTCAGAGAAGTATTAAAACATTTTTAATACTCAGTCCCACTGTGTACTTTTCTTTTTTTTGGCCTGCCCTGTTCATTGTGGCAGATTGGTTTAGAGTCAAAGAGACCAGGACTAGCCGGGAAGAGTAAAACTCAATGTATCACTCCGCCTAATGCGCCACCTGGTGGCACTGCCAGGCATTATAGGACAAGGCCAACTCAATGTAGTCACAATCATTTTATGTGATTTACTCAGTGGCGGACCGTGCATTTCACCCCTAGGCCTTCAGTAGTGCTCCGTCTGAATCAATTCACCCCTCAATAACTATTTTATGGTTAGAGAAATCATCTTATGTAGAAATACAGTAGGGATGTCCCGATCCAGCTTTTTGTATTAAAGTTGAAATTTATTTATCTTCTTACTTAGTTGTCAGACTCATGTTGAACAGGGATTTACTCTTATAACAACTAAAGTTACACAGACCTGTGGTTAAAGATGCTAATGCTAATGCTAATGCTCGGGTGGGATCTGACTTTAAAAAAAAAATGGATCTGGAGTCTGGATCTGCATTTTCTCGTGCCGGCCGATACGATCCAAATATCGGATCGGGACAGGCCTAAAATACAGTCTAAAGATCAGGGGTGCACAAGTCTTCTACTCCTGCAGCTACAGCTGCGACCCCCCCAAAAAAAATAAATAAATAAATAAATAAATAAAAATACTGCTGATGGCTCTGGAACTGAAAGAAGGGCATGATGCTGAACAGCATCACCCAAAGACCTCCAGGAATCTAAAGAGGAGGAAATCCCACCCAGAGAAGAACCAGCTGTCATGGAGGACTCAGAGGATGATAAAAAAGATC